TGCTAGTTCTCCCATGTATTTCTGCTTGTTGGCCTTAATGCTTTTCTTCACTTGCTTGTTTGCTTCTGCGTAGTCTGCTTGTGCTTTGACTTTCTCTGCTCGTGTTCGGCTGTTGTTAATTGCTAGTTTCTTGTTCTTCCTTTCTTGAATTTTGTCCAGGGTTCCCATAGAGATCCATTCCTTATGATGATGTTTCTTAGGACCAAGAACATCCTGACACGTTGAAGTTAGTGCTTCTTTTGTCCCTTTCCAGTTGTCTTCCAAAGTAGTTTCTTGTTCTTTCAGTAGATCCTGTAGAGCTTGGAACCTGTTGTTGAGAGTTATCTTGAATTCATGGAGCTTGTCAGTATCTCGAAGAGAAGCTGTATTGAACCTCTGTAGTGCTGTTTGTCCAGTTGTCCAGTGTTTCTTTAGCTTCAGTCTCATCTTGGCCACGACCAGGTGGTAATCTGATGATCTCCGGGTTCTCACATCTTCCATTGACCTACGGAATGTTTTGTTGATGCAGATGTGATCTATCTGGTTCTCTGTGGTGTGGTCCGGTGAGATCCATGTAGCTTTGTGTATGCGTTTGTGTGGTAATATTGTGCCACCTATAACCAATTTGCTGAAAGCACATAGATTTGCAAGTCTCTCCCCAATTTCATTTCTCTCTCCTAGTCCATGTCGTCCAATTATATCTTCATATCCTGTGTTGCCCACTCCAACTTTAGCATTTAGATCTCCCATCAGGATTGTGAGGTCCTTTCGTGAGCACTTCTCTATAATTGCTTGCAGCCTTTCATAGAACTGATCTTTATCATCGTTGTTGCTATCATTGTTGGGTGCATAACATTGGATAATGTTCATTTTGACCCCTTGCTTCTTTGTTCTGAATGATGCTTTGATTATCCTGGGTCCATGAGATTCCCATTCCACAAGTGCATTTCGTGCTTCTTTGGACAGTATTAGAGCAACTCCCTGAGTGTGTGGAGAATCTTCCCCTTCGTGACCGGAGTACAGCAGCATCTCTCCTGTACCTAGCCTTTGTTGTCCAGTTTGTGTCCAATGGGTTTCGCTGGTTCCGAGTACTGCCAAGTTGTATCTTCTCATTTCCATTGCTATTTGGCTGGTCTTTCCTGTCTCCCACATTGTCCGGACGTTCCATGTACCTATAAAGAGTGTTGCTCTGGTTGTTAGAAGGTGCATCGGTCTGGTGACCTCCGAAAAATTTCGGCTTTCATCATGAGGCGTCATAATTATTCCTTCAACTGAGAGGGCAGAGTTTAAATGGTTTGAATTATTTTTTCTGTTTGGCGTTTTTTTTAGCGAGTTAGCTTTTCTACGGAATGGGGTCGCTAACCCCATGACCAACTCTCCTCCTTTACCCGGGCTTGGGACCGGCAGTAGCTCTAGAAGAGTTACAGGCGGAGTTATTTCAGATAACAGGTTTGGAATTTTAACGCAACATTCATACACTCATTTGGTTAGTTACTATTTTGGCATTATAGCTGATATCAGTTCATGATGGAAACCATACATCAAATACCTAACCCTAATCATCAACTGTAAATCATAATTCCAATTCCTAATACTGATTTATAACTCTCATTTAGTCCTAGTCAGAAGGTGGACATTTTCAAGGTCACTTTAGCTTCACCCAAAGGTCGTCCATAAATTTTAGTCTCACCAAAAATGAAACCATCTTGGTAACTAAATTCACTTAGTGTTGTTTGTTCGAATCTTCCCATTTATGCATAGGAGTGCAACTGGTCAGTCTCATATAGACATATGTGCATACTGTGCGTATTGCCTCGATATAGTCTTAATTCACAAGCATTGAAGCACCAACTCGCTAGTATGTAACCTTATTTTAAAGTATTAGACTGTCCAAAGTCTTTATAAATGTTGAAGATGGATAGTGGCTAGTAGTGGAATCCAGTTTGACGCACGTTTCGTCCTGTTTGGGACCCGTCAGCTTGATGTACCTGCATCTCAGAGTTGATGTTCATTCTGAGACTGACCAGTTGCAGTCCCAAGCATCAATGGGAAGATTCAAACATAGAATAATAAGTGAATTTAAAGATTTTTTTGTTTTTTTAAGTGATATTTCTCTAATTATTATTCATATTTATTTTGAATATAAACTATTTATAGTCGGTGAACAAGTCGTTCCACGTCCATGGGTTGAGCATTTCAAAGAAAATAAAGAATCATGGTCAAAGAAACTTCCACCGAAAACTTGAAAGAAAAGGAAAAGAGAAGCAAATTCAAATGTACAAGAAATATGAAATCATAGAATACATTAAATTATTATTATTATTAACCTCAATATTATTCTTACTACCATTCATAAAAGGAAGAACACTTAGATAAAATACTTTCTTCAAGTTATTTACCATGAGAAAACTACTACTACCACTACTCTGAGTACTATTACCACTCCTACTCCTCCCCCTCCTCCTCTTCCTCCTCCTCCTCCTACTACTACTGCTACCAGTACCACTACTACTACTATTACCACTACTACTATTACTATTACCACTACCACTACTACTACTATTACTACTACTACTACCATTACCCCTACTGCTACCACTAACACTACTACTACTACTACTACCACTACTACTACTATTACCACTACTACCACTACCCCGACTACTACTACCACTGGTACTACTAATACTACTACTACCACTACTACTACTACTGCTACTATTAATAGTAATACAACCACCACTATTATTGCCATTGCCATTACCACAACCACTACTACTACTAACAAGTAATACACATATACTAACTTTTTTAAATACATACATATATCTCTCTGTGTTTATCAAAATGATTGAAATAAAACAAACTTTTTGTCGATAATTTGAAACAAGAGAAACAACTATTAAATAGATTTAAGAATATATTTAGACAGACTTTTAATTGTTTTTGATTATTCCGTTTGATCAGTTTTATGAAACTTGATTGAACAAAATGTATGAATAGTTTATATGGCGTTATATTGTAGCTGTAAATAAACCCCTAAATCAATAGCTCCGTAAGTGTTTGACATTGGATGATGACAACATTAGTTTTAATGAACTCACCCAGCTGAAGGCGGTCGGTCATGCATCCGCACCAGATCACTTTTCAGAACGGCGTGGGAAACGATTTGAAACGTCGTGCTCAACGTCTCCTGCGATCACTAGCCAGATTAAATCAGTCACTCCTCGATATATTGATAATCCATCAAATATATCTTCAAACCTCCACGCTTCTGACATTTCGTTTCACTGAGCGGGCGCGATTCAATTATAGAAGGTGTTACTGGTAAAGTGTTTTCAAACTACAATACTTTGGTATCTTCAACACTATTATTATTATTACATTAAGAATACTATTTCTTATGTGGACACACATATTACATTAGAGGAACTCAAATAGATGTGATGATTGTACGTGATATTCAAACACATATTGCTGACTGAATCGTCAAGTGACAGTCCTCAGTATGAATGACCTTATTACTCCACTATATGTAAATCTTATAGATCAGGCAGTCACATCAAGATAACTCTGCAACTTTAGGATTAGTTCTATTATTAGAGTGTTAATAATAATAAAATAGATCATAATTCTACAATCGCAAGAGGGAGTCCGGAAAGCTCCTCTCTGTGGTCCAGCGAAGAGTTTCTCACTCTTCGATGTAATAGAAGAAAAATGTACGGGATATTTATTCCCAGAATCATGAAGCTTGAAGCATTTGTACCTCGACTATCTGCAAATCTAGGAGGTTGTATTTAGCCAAACTTGTTAAGGAATCTATCAAATACCTTAAATGCTCATACTCATATATAAACTAAAGGACCAAGAGGAAAGGAAATATTCCATTATTATTTGGAAACAATAGTAGTGGATCATTATTTGGAGACGACTGTAGTAAAACTCGGATATTCTCAAATTAATTTAGCGATGTACATAACGTAGAGATGCGGGATTATGATCTAGTTCGGCATTAGTGCTATTATTATGATAGACCTAACCCCGAAATTGTAGATTTGTCTTGTTGTGACTACCTAATTTATAAGATCGTATGTGGAAGCCACATAATTGTTTACACTGACTCGTCATATCATGATAATCAGCAATATGACGTTCAGCATTTAGGAAGAACACATTTTGACTAGGGACAAAGTAGTGTTTTAATGTGGAAAGGTGTAGATTGCGCAAGAATGACCACACCTGCGAGACTGAATCATGCCATATCGATCAACTTATCTCCGCGTTCACCATTGTTTACCTACTTTTAGTGTTACATGTTAAATTTAAGTCTCCTCGGTAATAATAAGCTCAGCTTTACGGATTTTGTGGTTACGGACCAGTACCATTACATTACTCTCTCACAAGAATCAACGTCACGTTGATTCGATAACAAACTAAGTGGGATAATCGCGTGTCCCGGGTTACCGAAAGGGTAATACGAATCCCGTGGGTATTGATGAGCTGAAAGTTAAATCAGAAAGAAAGCGACAGCAACTGACAGGAAAATATATGTAATAATTCCAAAACTTTTGGTTTAAATCTTCACACGTAAAAAATGAAAATCTACGTGAAGATAATTTAGACGTTCAACAAAGTGAGATCATCATGATGAGAAATGATTTAGTACAGAGATATTTCAGCAAGTTACATTAAGATGCATAGCAATAGCCATTGGTTAAGAGCTTAAGATATAAACAGTTGAAATATTTTGTGCGCACAAATATAAAAACAATCAATATTGTAGAAATGTTGATTTTAGTATTCTTTTTATTTAAATTATGAAATTAAATAACGTTCATGATGGCCGTTGTCCACATGAGTTGATTTCCAATTGCATTCTCATTGGTAAGCTAACTGAATGAACAAAGGTATAACCATGGAGAGGAAGAGTTTCATCTGGTATTGTAGTTAGTTTGTTTGATACTGGTTATTTAGTGGCGGGGAGATTTTCTTGACCTCATTATTGCTTAACTGTGATAGGAATGAATAAAACTACTAACATATATATGGATTTTTATCAAAAATCCTTTCCATACGTGAAAAGTGGTAATTATGCGAATTTCGAACAGAAAGATGACATTAGTTCGTTAAACCTGAGTGGACCTGTAAGAGACATGTTCTAGGCTTGGTGCCTCAATGTGCTATAAGCCAGTTATTTATATTAATACTTACCGGTTAATGGTGGGTAAGGTTGGTTTCAAGTATCGAGTTTTGCATAGAACAGAAATCGATTTATTTAAAGTGGGGTGTATATGGGTTGTCGAAATCGACAAAGCTTATGTGCCACAAACATATGTGATATGGTGTTGCACGACGCTCTCGGTTAAACAAATCTTCACTAAATGATAAGCAGTGAGTACTGTTCGTGCGATTATCACGGAGAACATAAGTTGTAACCAAGGAGAGTACACTCCCAACTCATGTCTATGATAAATGGTAAGAATGTTTGTCAGTGTTGTGGTGGATTCGACAGTGACATTTTCGATTCACGGAAGATTTGCCCGATTGCCCATATTTATGATTTGCATGCATGATTGTGTCGACAAACTTTCAATTGGACTGACAAGGTTTCAAAACCCAATGAGCTCAAGATTGCAGAATTTTCGTAGCTTAAACTCACCGTACGTCTCTGGAATTTTGTCCTTAACTCTTTGTCAAGGAACTAGAAATTTAGGAATTAAGCAGGCGATGGTAGGTAAAAGAATGATGTTTAGGGATAGTCCATATTTTCAAAAGTATTAGGATGTTAAGTGAGTAAACATGATGAAGAATTAGGTATAGATAACTAACCAGTTTCTGCTTACATTGGTAGTGAAAATACCACGGTATTGTAGTTTGAAAACACTTTACCAGTAACACCTTCTATAATTGAATCGCGCCCGCTCAGTGAAACGAAATGTCAGAAGCGTGGAGGTTTGAAGATATATTTGATGGATTATCAATATATCGAGGAGTGACTGATTTAATCTGGCTAGTGATCGCAGGAGACGTTGAGCACGACGTTTCAAATCGTTTCCCACGCCGTTCTGAAAAGTGATCTGGTGCGGATGCATGACCGACCGCCTTCAGCTGGGTGAGTTCATTAAAACTAATGTTGTCATCATCCAATGTCGAACACTTACAGAGCTATTGATTTAAGGGATTTATTTACAACTACAGTAGCCAGTGTGTATTTGTAGAATTATGGTCTGCTTTGTCATAAGTACTATTATAATAATATACCTAATCCGAAAATTGTTGAAGTTATGATGTGACTATCTAATCTATACTATCTTTCGTGGAAGCCACACCATTGTCTACACTGACTCATGGTCTCGTAACAATTAAGGACTCGATGTCTGGTGTTTCTAGAAAACACATTCAGGTTAAAGAAAGAATAATATATCTTATGTGAATAAAGACAAGTTATATGGAGTGACCACGCCTGCAAGACTGAGCAATGCCACCAGATTTATTGAATTGAATATTTCCGCGTTCCCTAATGCTAACATTCTCGTCATGTCAATTGTTGAATATAAATCTTTTCAGTTTTTATATATTCGGCTTCAAATGTCGTTTGGTTTGGGTCCAATGCTACTACACATGCGTCAGTTAAAGGCCACGTTGGGTGGTTTCTTATTTAACAAACTAACTCACAGAAGCATGTAGATACTTCTAAAGGTTGTTGATGAACCATAACAACTAATCATGAATATAGATAACCGGTAATTAGTTTCGATTGAGCTATTAAGCTATGAGTACCAATAAATATTACAATACGTCAGCGAACTAATAGATTAATGGTTAACTTAAGTAGAGATCAATAGATTATGTTAAAAGGAAAACGAGAATTAATAACAGGATGCTTCTCATAAGTCAGTCTCACCCTTTCCTTCAGTTCATACAAACCTTGCAGGACACACAATAGACACTGTGGCCACTAAAGAACTTGATGTCTTCGGTTTGCTAAATGAGTTTGTGATGATTAGGAATATTCGACATATTACACGGACTGAATAGGAAAGGAATTACAAAGTTTAACACTACTTGAAGCGAAATGACTATTTGTTTTATAAAATGCCAGAATATGTCACATTTTTCTACGTTTAAAGCATTTAACCTTACGAAATATACATGAATTATATGGGCAAAATTTACCACAGGACAAACATACATCAAACTTAGGCTCATGCTCATACACTGTTTCTCAACCCCTCAATGAATTGTTATCTGCATAACATTGAGTACGAATTGAAAAGGGATGACATAGTAATGTAGTGGAATTCTTAATGTCCTGAAAAATCATTAAAAAATTTTCAAGCTTAGTCTCATTCGGAATTTACACACTTTACATAGTCAAGCAATAGTTCCCTGAGAGTTGCATAATGGAGTGAAATAGGCTTTTCTGGAAAAGCCAAAGCTATAGGCTTTTTTTCCAATGAATTTGAGGAAATAAGACACAATCTTAACATCCTCAACATCTTCCTTGGTCGTAGTCGAGATTTCAAAACTTTCCATATAATTTTCAAAAGCATCAGAATTTGAATGTGTCCAATTGTTCCGTTACAGGCTCCATCGCGATGCCAATATGATGATTAGAAATATTCCAGTTATTATACGAACTGGGAAGTCCCAAAATAGTGCAGCAAATAGAACCAGATGAACAAAAACGAATGTACTGTATTTAGAATTATAAAGCAGACCGACATCGAGTACGAAGCAATCATTACTTAACACAAACTCCACCGTTTGATATAGGCATATCCATGGAACCCGATGTAATGCATCTTAGCTACCAAGGTAATTGGCGAACTTCTTCGAGAACTTTTTATACCAATAATTTAACCTATCTGTTAGCCAGGGTTGATTACCAAAAGACTGAAAGAATGCTTCAGTAAGCCTTGTATTCAAAACAGGTAAGAGACATAAACATTGGAACTATGAAACCGTAAGCCTGATCTGATTAGTTGTTAAAACTCTAGAAAAGATTATTCAAAAGTTGTTTAGGTATCTCAACGAAACTGGATGCCGTGTGATAGCCACCAAAAGTTTTGGTACCCTGTGGTCAATACAAGGGGCCTTTAGCCATGTCGATGTTAAAAACTTTTCGACTTTGTATACTGTATTCGTAAGTCCTAAACTCTAATACTGTATACAAACGGCTGGCCCTTCACTAAAAGGAAACAATGAACTGTTGGGAAACGTTTTAAGAACTGCAAACAAGCTGATTTCCGGTAAAGCTAGGCTCTCGTATGATGCTTGGTTGGTTAAACTCAACCCATTTCCACTGTACTATAGAAGAATTAGAGGTGGCTTGATTACAGTTTCAAAATAACTTTGTGGTAAATTTGCACCCGACCTGCCCTTATTTTTCTTGTCTCCTAAGGGAGGCAATTTACAAAGACAGTCTAAAAAGGTTCACAAACCTAGAACAAATTACTTGGCATCGACTTTCCTATCGAATAATCGACCAATGGAATTCAATATCTCAATACGTTGTTGAGTCTCCATCTGACGATGCGGATAGGTCACCGAACTTCTTATATTTTCCAAACTGAAACTGAATAAGATATTGTTTATTGTACAGTAGGAGTTAAACAGTTTGGGTTACGCACTCTTTCGAATTATATTTTCGGCGGGTAACTGGTACGTCTAAGTTAGGTTTTTGTACAATCCTTGAGTTCGTGTAGTGTTTCTTTTAAACTAGATATCTGTGCATGGTTTAGTAGTTAGCCTAGTGCTCATTATCTTTTGAAATTTTTATGACGAACACAGCCAACCTTTTCTTGATATCTGGGATGTAAAACATAGATCCAAACATTCTGAAGCCTGCAAATGGCTTTTGATTAGGTATAAATCACATTTCTCAAGCAACCGGTAAAGGGAAAACGCGCTAAAACATCCGCTTTTTCACCTATCTGGGGGGATAATGCAGATTTCTCCCTTTGTGTCTCTCTGTGTTTCAAATAAGGCTGAACTGCCTACTGTTCGCCTGGGTAGGATTAAACTATACTGCCAACCTTTGAACGAATCTTAAATGACCTTGAGAAATATCAGTCAATCAGAAGACAGTTAGTATACAGTAAAAATATATTATGCAAAACCATAGAATTAAAGTGTAACCACTTCTTTCACGTGGGTCAAAAACTTCTCAAGGTCAGATGCAGGTTCAGAAGTTTTAAAATCATAGTGCATACGGTACAGGAACACATCCATATGGCTCCATAATAGTGGACCTCTGAAACCATGATAAGGTCTCAAAAACTCTTTTAGCCTCGACCACATAGCTTCAATAATGTTAGTATATTGGTATGGTTTACGGGTTAGGGTTAGAGTTAAGGTTTAGGTGTAGGGTTATGGGTGAGACGCTAGAGTGACTCTGAGAGTGTCAACATAATAACTAAGACTAAATGAGGGTTATAAACCTGCGTGGAGAATTCAAATTATGATTTACAGTTCATGATTAAGGCTAGGAATTATACTTAGGGTACGACCGAGAGTGGGGAGTGTCTACTCTCCCTCTCAAAATGCTCTCATATGGCCAGCGAATATATAGCCTCTGCCAGGGAAGTCCTACTCACTGCCTTCTCGTGGCGGGGGTGTTGTTTACGAAAGTGAGAGGACGAAAAGCGAATGTCCGGCGCTATAACCGGATTGGTGGACACGGAGGGTCCACCTAGGGGAGTTGGAAAACCCTGATTCCAAACCAATGGTGCACATGGGCTCCAGTATCCTGATGGAATGAATGGCGGAAGAACCTGTCATTGGTCAACGGCTACCATGGGACTGCATCTCCTCACGATGCTCCACTGCCTTGTGGATCAGACCTTTAGGTCAAAGGCTCGGGGTGTGGTCCCCTAAGAAAACCACCTGCTTCGGTTTGGGCACCCGGGCAGTGTCACAGCCCACACGCAATTGAATGAAATGATGAACTCTGTTGACGATTCTATTCCTGCTCATATTATAAGCAAGACAATTTACATTATTATTATTATTATTATTATTATTATTATTATTATTATTATTATTATTATTATTATTATTGTTATTATTACTTACCATATCGCTAATTCACCCCCTTTTATCACCAATTTGTGTAACCTTACTCTTCAACTTATGCAGCAGCTCGCTCTTGGTGGAAAATCTGTCCTATCCAAACGATCTCCAGTCACTGTCTGGTTGAAAGTGAATGCTTCCACCGATTATGAATACTGAGGCAGTCTTTCTGAAACCACGTACGCCGTTCAAGCTGGCTTCCTTCAACGTTCGCACACTAATGCAGATCAGACAACAGATAGGGCTGGCTATGTCTTTGGAAGGTCTTAATGTTGACGTTTGTTGTCTATCCGAGACCCGTATTCAAGACTCTAGTGAAGTACTACAAATCCGCTCTCCATCTGTCGCCTCGAAAAGCTTGTTCCACGTGCGCTTATCCGGGGACCCTGTGGCATCTTCGTCTGGTCTTGCTGGCGTTGGCGTCGCACTAAGCGCTAGGGCTGAGGCAGCACTAATCGATTGGATCCCCATTAACAGTCGGTTATGTGCTGTTAGATTAGAAAGTTCCATCAAAGTGAGAAGAAACCGGCGTGAGAAACGGTGTCTTTTCGTCATCTCCGCCTATGCTCCGACAGATTGCAGCCCGGATGCAATCAAGGATGAGTTTTACCATCAGTTAACAGTTCTTTTCCAGAAAGCGCGTTCGACAGATATTGTAGTTCTAGCCGGAGACTTGAATGCACAGGTCGGGCGTCTAGGCATAGAAGAGAGTCGTCTAGGTGGCCGATGGGGACTTGTTGGTCGCAGGACAGATAACGGGGACCGTTTGCTGCAACTGTGCACAGACCACAACCTGTTTCTGGCCAGCACCAACTTCCGGCACAGTCATCGCCGGTGTGCCACCTGGCGTCCTCCCTCTGCATCCCAAGCCTGGACTCAGATTGATCACATCGCGATCAGCTACCGCTGGCGTGGTTGTGTACAAGACTGCCGCTCCTTTTGGAGTACCTATCTGGAGTCTGATCATGCCCTGGTCTGCGCCAATCTCACCTTACTTTTCAGTGGCCGAAGGATTGACCACCACCAACGGATTGATATTAGTAAACTGGCTGCAACTCCTGTTGCAAGTAAGTATCGAGCGGAGCTAGCCTCTAGGCTAGCTACCATCCCACCGAAAAGTATAGATGAGCATTGGTTGCATCTTCACGACGCCATGAAAATGGCGAGTAAAGCCGCTTGCGGCTTCGCGAAACGTCCCGCTTACAAGCACTGGGTCTCTTCTGGCTCCTTACAACTGATGGAAGCCCGTCGGTCTACTCCGGGTGACCGTGAGTTTGACCACAAACGAAGGCTGTTACGTAATGAAATTGGGCAAAGCTTGCGTAAGGACCGAGAAGCCTGGTGGTCGGAGCGTGCTAATGAGATGGAAGCAGCAGCTGCATCTGGTAACTGCCGGAAGCTCTTCCAACTCATCCGAGCCACTGGCAGCAAGAAGTCTGGTGTGAGTGAAACAATCTACGAGGATGATGGGATGCCAATCACTAACATCTGTCGACGTCTTGGACGATGGGCGGAATTCTTCGAAGGGCAGTTCAACTGGCCTGCTGCTCCGGCAACATCAACCAGCTTGTCCTTTCCCCCATGGCCGCTGACGACTGATCCACCAAACGAGGCGGAAGTCCGCAAGGAACTCCAACTCTTGAAACGTTACAAATCACCTGGCCCAGATGACTTACCTCCGGCTCTTTTTAAAGATAGTGGCGACTTTCTGACTAAGGAATTGACTGTGTTGTTTGGAAAGGTTTGGGAGCAAGAAAGTGTTCCAACATCATGGAATGAGTCAATAGTCGTCCCTATCTTTAAAAAGGGTTCGCGTTGTTCCTGCAATAACTATCGGGGGATAAGTCTACTTCCGATTGCGTCCAAACTATTGGCTTCTATCATTCTTCGTAGGTTGTTTAAAACCCGAGAACGATTGACTCGCGAGGAGCAGGCTGGTTTTCGTTCTGGTCGAGGATGCATTGATCACATCTTCACCCTCCGCCAAATGTTAGAACACCGTCATACTTATCGCAGGCCAACAATCGTAGTGTTTCTTGATATCAGGGCGGCCTTCGATTCGTTGGACAGGACTGTTCTCTGGGATTGTCTATTGAAGAAGGGTGTGCCTGAGAAGTTCATTAACATCTTAAAGGCCCTGTACACGAACACCTCAGGCAGAGTGAGGGCATACAACCACCTTTCTCCCTTGTTCCATTCGAGCAGTGGGGTTAGGCAGGGTTGCCCGATCTCACCATTCCTCTTCAACTTTGCCATCGACGACATCCTAGAAACAGCTCTGATGGATGTAAGTAATGGCGGTGTGGATATGTTGCCTGGAGAACGACTTCTCGACCTTGAGTATGCGGATGATATTGTCTTACTGTGCGATAATGCCCAAGGCATGCAATCAGCACTTAATCAGTTGGCAATCAGTGTCCGCAGGTACGGCATGTGCTTTGCACCCTCCAAGTGCAAAGTACTTCTACAAGACTGGCAGGATTCTAATCCTGTATTCACCCTGGATGGTGAGCAGATTGAAGTAGTTGAGAAGTTCGTGTATCTAGGTAGCTATATAAGTGTTGGTGGTGGCGTGAGCGATGAGATTGATGCACGTATAATGAAAGCCAGAGCGGCTTATGCCAATCTGGGCCATCTTTGGCGCCTTCGTGATGTTAGTCTGGCTGTAAAAGGTCGGATTTACAACGCGTCGGTGAGAGCAGTTTTGCTCTATGCTTGTGAAACCTGGCCTCTCCGAGTTGAGGATGTTAGACGTCTCTCTGTGTTCGATCATCGTTGTCTCCGAAGGATTGCTGACATCCAGTGGCAACACCATGTTAGTAATGCAGAGGTTCGGCATCGTGTGTTCGGGAGCAGAGACGACAATCCAATGGATGTCACCATCTTGAAACACCGACTTCGGTGGCTTGGACATGTTTTACGAATGTCGTCCCAGAGACTTCCACGTCGTGCATTATTTGCCGACCCTGGGACTGGTTGGAAAAAGCGGAGAGGAGGTCAGTGTATGACATGGTGTCGTGGCATGAAAGAGAGCTGCAAAGGGCTAGCTTCTGTTGGTCCTTCACGTCTCCTTGGTTGGGGTCCGAGAGATGGTGCAACACAGTGGCTAGAGACGTTATCAGATATGGCTCAGAATCGAAGCCAGTGGCAATCCTGCTGCAACCTTCTTTTACTTTCTTCATAAAGAGTGGTTCTAACTTTCTTAACTGAAAGAGTCTTCTGGTTGTACATTTCAGTCCGCCTTATCTTTTCATCCCTTCTCTTCCTACTTTCATTATTTTGTGTGGCGCATATGTACCTGGTGCCCTTTTGTACCAATATATATGTGTTTAAATAAATAAATAAATAACTTAGGGTTTTCATCACGAACCGACATCAGCTATAATGCCAAAACTCTATTTATCCAAATGGATAATTGGATTTCGCGCCAAAATCTTATGATCACTTCTATTGTAGACGCTAAATTATCACGTCTTCCCTAAAATCCGCTGTAAACCGTTCGTACGTAAGCATCAGGTACCGAACTTAACGCCGTGACCTTGAAAACCCGCTAAAGCTACTGATTGGCTCGGCAGTATAGTTTAATTCTACCTTCGCCTGAATACACGCCGAACTGTCTACTTTTCGCCCATATACATGCTGAATTGTCTACATTTTGCCTTGGTACACCCCGATTTATCTAATCTTGCTTCAACTTTTAAATAATTTTTGGTACAACCCCAAATTTCTTCTGTGTTCACTTTTGTTCCCATAACTCAACAACTGCAGTTTACGTTAAAATAGCACAAGTTTAAAGAAATGTATTGAAAAGGGAAGAAGTTATATTGTGCAACATAAGTAGTTGGGAGATGCTAGAGCACCGGTCGTTATGTATTGTAATTGCCAATTCTTATTGTAATTTGAAAAGATCTACGAAAGAAAGGACAGATTATTATTATTAGTTAGGCACGTGTTCTTAGTTGCGAATGCATCTAAAATCAAACAGGCTTTGTCAACACTTAGTCGAAGAGTTTCCCATGCAAGTAAGAAAGTAAGCACATGTTTGAAAAAATGTTCATTGAAAAAGAAGTTGAGCATGGAAAATATTCCACTGGTTATTCCCTTTCGTAACGCCTGTTCGACTATTGAGAATCAAAATAATCTTGGGAATTCTGAAATTTAATTAGCGAAAAATGTTACAACGATATCTAAATGATATTTTTTGCACAACTAGCTACATAAAGCTATACTTACGGTCATGTTCGTTAACACTGAAGACTGTACCGATAGAGCAGTATAGCATTGTTATCACTTCAAATTAGTTCTTACATGTTCTTGTTTTCTTCGATAACGCCTCTGTAATTTGTCTCTCATGTCGTGAAAATAACCTTGCTTCGCGATGTCATACAGTTCCGCAAGGTTTTTCTTGTTGACAGATGATGACAGAAATCGATTAGTTAATGCATCTGAAGTTTAAGAAAACATACCCTACTTCGTATGCATCCGTAAAACCTGCACTTTTGAAGTCCTTTTTTCAATGAAGTGCCAAGTAGCGTGGAATGACTGGCAACTTCAGTGTCATGATGTATGACAAAACATAACGCATTGACGACTTAGGATTTTCATCCATTAACCACGTTAACATGGCCATCTGTAATACGAACAAATAATCAAATTAATTTTATTGAGCTAAAAATCTGTCTTTTGTCTTTCTGCTGAAGACAAGCGTCTAACATTCACTGCCCCATATTAGATGACAAAGGGAACTGTTGACTTGATAGTCCGCAATAGAATTTCCGCGGATGTTCACGCTCACAAGACTTCGACAATAGATGCTTCATATTAGCACTCAAGTCAAAAGTACCCGACGATATGTTCTGCAGTACAGCATACAGTCTGTCAAATCTCAAAAACTTAACTCAATTGGACACGTGACTTACTCGACCGCTAACGCACTGTTTACACGCCTAGATTCGAATGTTGATGGCGATGTATCCAATTGTGTCAAACTAGTTGATGCACATCTTAGAAGTAAACAAGCCTACTTGGCAATCGGCGAGACACCACTGTCGAACAACCGAAATTTGGAACATTGGACGTGGCTATTTCCAGCCTTCATCTTGGCCACATCCATGTCAACGAAATTGTAAAGAAACCCCTTACTCTCAGTTTTAAGCCATATTTTATATTAGGGGTGGTGATACAGTTTAATTACTCAATTTGCTCCACTCGTCTCCACGATCAAACAAACTACTGTTAAAAATCCTTTTCCACCCAGTGATTAACAATTTTTCAGGCTTCATCAGTGACTGGTTTTAAGGTAAAGTATAAGATAAGCAGAAATAAAATGACTTTTAGTGAATCCTTATTTAATTCAAAAAGTGAGGGTTCTAGTATAGAATCCCGGAAAACAGCACTCTGATATTATGCATCCTGAGAGAATAAAATTATTCTGACCTTAATTAATGAATTGTTTAAATATTGCTCAAACCAGTTGTCAACAGTGACTGAATATCTAATTGTTGGAGGTAGATGATAGGACAGTCATGATCCGTGTAATCAAGAGGTTTTCGAAGAGTTGATGTATGTTATATCAAGCACACGATCAAGCATGTTTGTCCAGTTACCCACTGTCGTCAAAATACTCGTGACTGAAGAATAAATTCCTGAAACCATGTCCTTGAGATTCAAAGAAATCACAGTTCATCATTAACTAAACTCCATAATCGTAAAGGCCACTAAGAAAAGTGGTCGGCCAGTGATTGTAGGATCATTGTGTTGGCCTCATTTTATGGATTGGATCAAAGTGTATCAATTTTCACTTATTTGAGACCGTGCCGTTGCCAGAGGGATGCAAAAATATTACACAAAGGCATGTTGTTGGAAATGAGGTCACTTATCTTAGGACGGTAGAATTAGCCATGTCTGGGCCTGTAGATGTATTTCCCAGGTGCTTCAGTTTATGGCACCCTAGTTCAATACCTTTGTCAACTTCTGAGGTTTCTGTCGAGTCTTGGTGCCGTCGTTGGTATGAGTTTTGGTTAATAGTTTTCACGTTTACAAATACTAGTTAGTCAGAAACTCTTCAGCATCGATTTACCTGTTAGTGTTATACTATGCTGCTTTGTAGAATCACAAGTGAAGTCGATTAACATACTTTGGTTGGAAATTCGATTCTTATGACTTGATTACTTTTGAGATGCAGTTGATTCCCACAATTTAATTTTATTTAAATCACTCTAAATCGATTTCTTTTGTCTATCCCTTGATAATATAAAAATAGTTCAACAGGTATGACCGAAATTTTTGACAAGTATCATTGCACTAATTCTATATTGATCACTTCATATTCAAATACAACCACATAAATCGAAGGAATATGTTTTTTTTCACTTTTATAGGTGCAAACCACTTATTCTTCAGAAATATAAGATCAAGAGATTAAAGAAAGCTCACTAAATCAATACAAGTTTTTGGTTTGCATTAGATTAGACTTTGAATACATTAGAACCTAGGAGATACTCCTACGGAATTATACAGTCCAATTTCAGATATATTAGACATGCAACGTTTGTTAACCTTCATCCCTCAAAATTTGAAGGTGGTGCTCAAAGACCCCATGACGTTCCTGAAACCTTTGTCTATTGGGTAAGTGCGATGCAAATAACAATTACCTTGAGAATTTCTCTGGCTTTACGAAATGAAATCAGTTATTCATTCAACACCTGTAATATATGAGATTTCATTCAGAAATTGGCCAGTTTGACCACATGGTTTAATTATTCGTGTACCATAAAAACTCGATTGTCTGGTACGGATAAGTGCCTGGTTTTATCTTCGTTTTTAGCTTTAAGTTCTTATTACCACAATTTGGACTATACTAAACGATATCACTTCTGTATATAAGGCCTAAATCAATTCTAAGAACACAGATAGTAAAATTGTGGTTCATTATAAACGATACTGAAATCATACTATATGGGTAGTCGTTATATATATATATATATATATATATATATATATATATATATATATATATATATATATATATATATATATATATATATATATATTATAATTGTCCACTTGTACAGGAAATTTGATAATTAGATGGTAGTTGGAACTAATGACTTATTCAGTAGGTTTATTTTTTATCAGAAGGAGTCGCAATTCGTAAATTTTATTTGATCGGTATTATTCATTATGCAGTTGTATACAGTAGTTATCTACAACCTTGGTAGTTTTAGAAGTCTCAGGTCTTTTAATCTTTTTCGATTTCACAACCGTGATCTATACTTGGGTGCTGGCATTATATGTCGTGTACGAAAACAAACAGTGAAAATATATAATAGGACGGGTGACAATGGGACAAGTAGTTTGTTTACTGGTGAACGTCGTTCCAAAAATGATCCAGTATTCGATCCTCTTGGGACAGTTGATGAACTTGCATGTTGCATAGGCTTGGCGTCAGCTCATATTCATGATCATATATCCAGACAGCTCCCCAAATATGACGTCCTAGTTGTTTTGAAACAATTAGAACAAATATAGTGTCGTTTACTGGGTATGTCATCTTCAATAGCCACACCTCTTCCTCATCCTGAAAACCAAACTGATATTTCGGAGCGTTCAAAGCGGTTTAAGTGTGTGGCTTTTCCAGATGTTTCGGTTGTACTAGAGCCATGGATTGGTAGTTTGACAAATGCCTTGCCGCCTCTAAAGGTCTTCATATCACCATCGGGTGAAACTCCTGGAAGTTCCCTACATCTTGCGAGAGCTGTTTGCAGACGAGCTGAACGATGTTTTATTAACATAAACCTTCAACACGAATATCCTGTTGTCGAAGAAAGTGTAGTAAAGTACTTGAGTCGTCTGAGTGATTTTCTGTTTACCGTTGCACGATGTCACCGATGGCTTAAGATTTACTGAAAAAAACATTTTTGTTACCTAACACAAAATCGAAAAACTAATTGCTTTAAACTTTTTTAGTATAGTATTCTTTAGGACCACTTATTTTTGACTACTTTTAGGTGTATCCGTATGTATCCTGGTGATGAATTGGGACGAGGTGCAGGCAAGGTGTTTAATTAGTTTTATTTTACAAGTTGTCTAGTTTAGTTGTTCTTTTACTTTGTGCTCCTTAAATAATCCTTTTTGTGTGAATTAGTTGATTTATAACTTCAGTAGTAGTTAATGTTTTTGTAAATTATTAATCAGTATAAAATTTGTACTTGTGTATGATGTTTTAAATCTCTATCAAATGAGTTGGTTAGAACATGTGTTACATATGCCAAATCACCATCTACCTCAATGAACGATTCTTACTGGCGCAGAAGTAGGTTGGAAAAGATCTACGGGCAGTCAAATGAAGACACAGCACCAGTATATGAAGTCACTGGTTGTTGTTCTGAGCCATGTTAGTATGCGCCGACTACCTGATTCGAACACTAATAAGGGGTGGTTAGCGACTGGATGAGACAACTCAGAATAGTTCATAATGGTGCACGTGCGTCCTCTCTTTATCTCCCCCTAGATCTTCTGCTCCAGTATTCCTTCGTACACACTTTCACCCGGGTTTTTTTAATCATGTTCTCAATGCACAGTCTTTCTCATTACTATTACTCCTACACTATTTCTATCAGTCTTTCTATTCATATTGTTAATTTCATCTTATCGCGCCAATCTGACATAGTGACTTGAAAGAACTCACCTCTGTGCCAGACTTTACGTTGACTGATTAAATTTGTGATCATCATCATTTCATTTATCTGATCGTATTGTCCTACTAATTAACAATTTGTAACGATCACATAATAACATGAGTGGTAAATGTTACCAATAATAGATAGTTTGTACAGTTACACTATTCTTCTCACATTACATTAGATATGCGTTAACCTTCAAGTGGTAACACATTTACACTGTATTGATTAACTGGAATTTATTTATTCCTATTATAGTTCTGTAGGATCTTTGACAACAACTGAAAGATAATAAGTTATCACGCGATGCATTATTTTTTGTATACTATCAAACAATTTCCCAGATAATCACGTTTATTTAAATAGAATCGTTATTAAGATGTGATAAGGATATCCACTTATCTTACTGAGTATAGATTTAATGTATTAATTTTCTTTTATCAAGGGTGGTGGTACTGGTGGTTCTATTCGGGATGCTGGTGGAGCATTTGGCAAATTAGAAGCACGTAATGAAGAAGAGTACTTCTATCGATTGGTAAGCAACTGTGTCATAAAGATATATATATATATATATATATATATATATATATATATCACTTTATCGCTAGTCATTTCATACTCTTTATTCTCTCTTTTTTCCAACCACATTTCCCATGTTTGGCTTTTAACTACAGCTGGTGATCTGAATTGCTGTATGAGCCCTTGTTATTTTGCGGTCATCACAGGATACTTCCTCAGATACCTAGGAACAAAACTGAATTGTTAGTGATTTTAGAGATCCAGGAGTGAACCACAGATTGCAAACATCAACTACTTGAGGCTAGTTACATACTGCCTTATCGGGAGAAGCTCTCAATGTGTTAGTCTTACCGCTCTCCAACCGGCCTTCGTAGCATAGTAGAACTCAAAGGAATAAGTTCCCCAGCCAATATAGCTTTATTGGGTCATCATGATATGCAATCACGACCACCATGTCAAGATGTCAGCTACTCTTTATCTTATTGATTTCTTCTGTTATCGCCTAGATGTCAAAAATGGGACAACTTGTACCAGTACATACTTATTCCAGGAACTACACTTTTTAACCTATGGATACCAAATTAATTAATTAGATGATGCAAGATGGTACCTACCGATTGTTTATATATATATATACTTTGGTCCAGATGCAATGTGTAGTAAATATAGATACAAACTTGTTGTGATTCGATCACGATCTGTGAGACTACTTTGGAGCATTTATTTATTCAAACACATAAATATTGGTACAAAGGAGCATCAAAATATATATGCGACGCACAAAATAGGCTGTTTTCTTTGGGGGTCACAACCCGAACCTTTGACCCAGAGATCTAGCCCACAAGGTAATAGGGCAACGTTAGGAAATACAGCCCCATTGTTTTCAGTGATCAACGATAAGTTTATGCGCTATTTGTTCCCTAATGATCCTGGTCCCCATGTGTACCATTGGTTTGAAATCAGTTTACCAACTTCTCTAGTTGGATCCTTCGTACCCATCAACTCTGTTTAAGAACTGTATTTAAGTAACATTTTACAAAATTGTGAATTATCTTCTTTGTTATTGTAGCAACAACAACAGTTACATGAATTAAAGAAGCATTTAGAAGATGAACATGAACGTGAAAAGAAGGAGATCAAACGACTTGAAGTAAGTTTTATAACTGTAATGCTACTTTTATTCAATCTACTGTATTGTAACAAACTAGGATAACCATTAAAACTAAATGTTTATGAATTTGTTAGAGATTCATAGATTACTGTCCTCCGATCTCTGAGGCATTCTTGAAGTTTTATGGCAACTCAGTTAACGAGATTGGGAATCTTTATCTACTGAAGGTTTTTGTCTATGTGTTATCTACGACCCCGTATATCACCTACCTATATATATATGTATATATATATGTATATATATATATATATATATATATATATATATATATATATATATATATATATATATATACCGAAGTTGACTAATCTACTGGTTTCAAACTTTTGTCTTGCGTTATTGATTAATGAAACCACCACACTTCTTATTTCACTTCGTTGTCTAAGTTTGTTGGTCAATTCTGCTTCTTTTTTAAATTATGAACCATACTTTGTGACCTCTATATATGTAATTAATCAATAATTTGCTGTTAACGTGTTCTTCATACAACCGTACTTCTCTATATATTCAGGTATTTGTTATCATATGTATCGATCTTGTAATATATTTGAAGAAAATAGTTTATCCACCTAGACTTTATATATGTATCGATCTAGAACGGTGTTTACATTCCTTAGGAAACTGGTTAAGTATAATCTTCATGCAGTCAGTTGCTATCTATATCGAGTCTAGTGCTATGCTGTATTGGCAAAATGAGATGAAAATACCAAGATGATCAGCAGTAGTATTAATTCTCATTTGATGAATTGTCCCATAAAAGTTAAAAAAAATCATTTAAGGGTAATTCCATATCACAGATATTTTTGATCACTATGTGATATTAAGTTATGAAACCATAGAAGCAGTAGGGATATTTGGCGTTGTTCACTCACAACTCCTCACCGGGATCAGATTTAGGACTCTTTCCCATTTATCTTGTTGATTTTATATTATATATATACATATATACATGATGATACAGTAGTATTTTCATCAACGAACAATTGGTTATCATCCCATTTCGAGTTTGACCATGAGATAATTTGTGAAACATGCTTCGTAACTAATTTTGGTTCTTAATTAATAATCTAATATCTATCGCGAGTGCGAGATCGTGGATGCGCACTGCTGAGGAGTCTCATAATAGGACGAAATGGCCGTCCAGTGCTTCCAGGTTTTCCATAGTGGTGTAACTTCAATTGACTCATGATTTCAACTATGAAAATACTGAAACCTCCACAAAACCCCTTCTGATCTATAATATTGATCTATTAACTGAAAATACCTTTCAAAATTTTGAAACATTTAGTCTCCTTTGATAAATTCAAGATAATCCAATAAGAATATCAAGTTCATTACGGTATATGTATCAAAATGATTACAAAAACACAAATCAAATCACCCAATTAAAGTCAATGATACAAAGAATATGTTCTTTCACTGCTAAATATACAACTGAATTAGGTTATAAGATCGATCATAATTTAATCATTGTAGTTTTGTGTAAAAGGTGTCTTGAGTCAAATACTTAAATTTGTTGTAAAACCTTGACTTAGTCATATGAAAGTTCAAATCTCCCCTCTGTATTCACAAACTATTTGTTCTTACCCTTATCCTAGTAATATTGATTTATTTTTCATAAGTGATACAATTTATACTGTCTTTCCCTATTATGTTTATATTCTAATTTGTTTAATATGACCTCATAAACCAATGTCTTAACAAGTAAATATTTGTAATCAGATGGTTATTTAAAATGTATTAAGGTAATCTGATATCATTATAAGAGAAATCATAACACGCTGTGCTACAAATTCATGGATAAATATTCTACATCGAGTGTTGTTTAGGCACGAGCTTGAAATAGTCGAGACAAAATTTCAGCTAACCTTTTAGTCAAGCAGAAGATAGCCTTTGTAAATAGATAGTTTTTGCAAAAACAAACACGAATACTACAAAGAGTAAACAGATTTTACGTAGTTAATAAATCCATTAAAGTTTGTCGCTCGTAGATGTTTGCAGATTATTCGTCTTCTCATTTCCGCAAAAAGATAGATATAACTTTTTATTTCCCACATTGTTCGTGGATGGTATCATGTATTTACTGTATGAACTAGGGTTTTCATCACAAATTGATATCAGCTATAAACGAAAAGTAATTTGTAGCCAAGCCATATGGATCAATAAATTCCGCTCTATCTGAATTAGTTTATTCAGAAAATGTAATCCCACTAGGTCAAGTTTTCTTTCAGTATTTAGCGATAGTGTCGAATTACCTGTTATATAAACTGTCATATGATTTTACAACCTCAAGTGGTGTCCGACAAGGCTGTCCACTGTCCTCATTTTTGTTTAACTTCATTATAGACCTATTGCTGGAAATAACACTCGTCGACTGAATTTTCAGGAATTGATCTCCTACCAGGTGGTCCACTTATCGACTTAGAATACGCAGATGACATAGTCCTGTCTGGTGAAGATGCTGATAAAATGCAGAGTTTTCTGTTAGCACTGAGTAATAATGCCAAGATGTTTGGGATGCGTTTCTCCCCATCGAAATGTAAATTGTTACTTCAGGACTGGTTTGCGTCAACACCTGAACTAAGGATAGGGAGCAAAGTAGTCGAACGCATCGACAACTTCACTTATCTTGGAAGTCTAATCAGCCCTAATGGGTTGGTGCCTGACGAAATCTCAGAATGGATTCAAAAGGCTTGTTTGGCTTTTGCCAACTTACGTCACCTATGGTGAAGGCGAGATATCCGTCTATCAATTAAAGGACGAGTATACTGAGCAGCAGTTCGCTCTGTTCTACTTTACGGCTGTGAAACATGACCATTAAGAGTGGAAGATACTCGTAGGTTACTAGTATTTGACCACAGATGTCTTAAAAATATTGCTCGCATCTACTGGAATCACCGGGTAAGTAATAGTGAGGTGGTTAGACACAGGGTATTAGGGAATGATGGTAAATCGGTTGATGAAGTCATGAATCTTCATCGACTGAGATGGTTAGGCCACGTGTTACGTATGCCTGAACACCGATTACGACGACGCGCTATGCTGACTAGTGTAGGGGATGGTTGGAAGAGAGTTAGGGGCGGCCAAACCAAAACGTGGCACCAGTGCTTGAAATCACTAACTTCTAGTCTTAGCCATGTTGGTAGATGTAGACTACTTAGTTGGAGTCCGCGTGACTATCGTAACCAATGGTTGGAGACTCTAGGTAACATGGCTCAGAATCGATCACAATGGCGTCGGTGTATACACTCTTTATCTTCCATTAAACCTTGAGATTAAAATTACTTCATATCTGTCTTCCTATACTATGTCCCTATATACACCCTTTTTTTTATATAATAACACCACTAAATTAACTACTTCTATGAATCCGGTGTTCATTTTTTTGTGCTAATGAGGTATGGAAACTTGGACCGATGCATATATGTGCCTGGTCTTACGTTGCAGTTGACTGACCTGTTATATACAATCTAAAGTGACAGAATTAAGCGTTTGATACATTCAATACTATCATCTTTTACCCTCTAGTTCCGAGAAATAACTTTCCGTTAACAATTCAAACGTTTTTAAGAAGTATATAAACGTATCTCTTCTATGGTCATTATATCGTGATATCTTCGATTGTAATTGGCTCGTCTCTCCTTATTCTATACTTTTACTATATCTTCCTCCATTTAATTTAAAAACTATTCCATATTATTAGTTGGTGTTTTTCTTTTGTTCTATATTATTGCGATAAATTTTTATTTCCGGTGATATGAGACTTCTTTTTTTAAAACATTTCCTTTAGGAATCACTTAAAAGAAGAAAAAAATTACTGGATGATCTTGAAAAGAAGCATTAATTGACAGGATCCGGAAAGAAAATGATCATTTTCATAGGCTTGTATTAGATATTATAGATTGAAATTCTAATTAGCATGATATGTATCTATGTATTTGTGTATATGTAGATTTAACGGATTTATGTATTCAAAAAGTTAAAATGATGATAAATGACTGAATAATCTTTAATACTTTTTTTTCTATTTATTCTGTCAGTTATCTTTTAGTTACCATGACTAATGGATTCGATTAATAAATTATAGGGTTAATATTTAGGTACCTGTTTAAGTTTGGGTAACCGGCCAGTATCACAGCCTTCACACAAATCAAATGAGATTTGTATGGCGCATATATATCTGGTGTCACCTTTGTACCAATATTTATGTATTTAAACAAAATGAAATGATATAATGGTTACAAATTAGTCTTTATCATTTACATCATTTGAAATAATTAATGAAAGAGAAAAAAATTAGCGGTTTTTGGGTATTGTGTCATATTGTAGTGAATGAGAACACGAGTGGGGACAATCGAATGTATTTAAGCATAACTTACAGACTATCTCACTAAAATCTAACAATCATACAGTAAACAGTTAATTTGCAAACTATCAATCCATTGTCCCAATCTTAACTGTTCCTTCTGCAAATATCAGTCCATAGTCTCCGATTATTATTGTTTATGCACTTTTATGACAAATTGTGTTCCGTTTCCATTCTCTCCTTATCGATCTTCTACTGAAATACATTTAATGCCCGACCATCGTTATGTACTATATCCACACGATATAAGTAGCCAACACCACAATATAAGTATTTGTCAAATAATTTTCCATATTCAAAAAAACTATCTACTAAGTAAACATGATTATAAACATACAAAATTCTAAGGAACATAGGAAAACTGATTAGTTAATTATATTTAAAAAAAACCCATTGAAATGATGGTGATATAACTTAATGTAACTTCGATTACTTTCTTACTTACGCCTGTTTTCCCTCGTGGAGGAGCATAAGTCGCTCACCAGCATTCTTCATCCAACTCTGTCTTGGGCAATCGTTTCCGAGGAACGCTAACCAGAAAAAATAAATTCAAACCTCAATGCAGTGATGTAAAAGTATGAATAAAATAACCATGATATTAATGACTAGATGA